CCACCGCCACTCTCCCTCTGAAGCCCCTCCCACAACCTTCCTGCACCCCAGCCTGGCTTTCAAAGCTCTCCTCTAGTATGGAGGGAGACATTGAAATTAGAATAATAACTTGAAGTTTAGTAGTAATAATAATGGGAGGAAGAATAGCTAGAAGCTTGTCAGTGTAATTATTCCATAGTCAGAACATGTGTTTATCTATTTTATATCAGCTTTTTATGTCTTGTTGGATTAAGCTCTACTTCAGTTATCTTAAGTGCGTAATAAAAGCCTTTATTGTCCTCTCATGGTTTCATACTTCAGAGGGTAGAACAGTCAAGCTGGTATAAGTTAGATTGTGTTTCTTTTTAAGAAGTTTTTAAGAAGGCTTTCAGTAAATCACTTGATCCTTTTGTTTGTCTGCTCCACCTTTTCCAGGTGCAGCTGCAGGTTTTTACATTAAAAGCACTTCATTCGTGTTAATGTTGAATCGTTTGTTATATTTTTGTAGCTCCTCACCCAACACCTCGTCACAGTCTAAAGTCTTTTTAATCTTTCTTTTGGGATTCAGACCTGCCCCAGGTGGTGGATCGTCTCTGTGCAGGCCCCGAGCGGCTGCAGGTCGTTTGGTTTTCAGCAGCAGGAACAGGCGTCTGTCGTCCTGCAGCAGCTGAAGTTATGTAACACACAAAGAAAAGAGGGAACGTTTCAGCGTCAGTCATGTGGACACTAATGAGACGCTTTCACAACAAACTCCCTGCTCCAGTTTGTTACCTGGAGCCGGACCAGGACTCGGTCACGTCGTAACACTTCACTTCATGTCTAATTATTATGGGATGTTATTAAAGCTCATCTCTGGACAGGTGGTAGTGTACATCAAAAGCTCAAACCTTCCCTGACTCGGGTTTCTTTAAACTCAAAGTGTTTCAGATCTTCCTTTCTCGTGAGTTGCTCAGCGTTTCTCTTTCACCTCACAATCAGTAGCAAACAACACAAGCTAATGTTAGCTTAGCAACAAAGTCTAACAGTCACTAACATAACCAGTCAACGGCTATCAGCATGCTGACGTTAGCTGGTAAAGTGGGTATCAAGCAGTCTGTCAGCATTAGCAGCATTAGCTAATATTAGAGAGTCGCTTTTCTCTAATGAACCTGGTCAGAGCCAACAGGAAGTTGACTGTCAGCATAAAACTACTGCTCACATGGCTGTAATTATGACAAATGCCAATCAGGCTCCATAGTGCCGGGCAGTGAGCATAGGCCCACTGGAGGATGTCGGGCCCTCTGGTCACCCTCAGGAAGTCTGTGGTCAGAGACATTCACACCAGTGACTGCTGGAGGTCATTTTGCAGCTCTGGCAGTGCTCATCCTGTTGCTCCTCGCACAAAGGAGACATGAGCCCTGCTGATGGGTTTAGGACCTTCTACCGCCCTGTCCAGCTCTCCTAGAGTAACTGCCCATCTCCAGGAGTCTCCTCCATGCTCCTGAGACTGTGCTGGGAGGCACACCTGTTAATGACATGTGGAGATGGACTACCTGTGTAACCCCTGTAGGGTCCAGGTATCGCCTTATGCTATCAGTAGCTACACTGACACTTCCCAAATGCAAAACTAGTG